TGTCACCTCGCCTGTGCGGGCCGGCCGTGTCACCTCGCCTGTGCGGGGCCGTGTCACCTCGCCTCGCGGGGCGGGCCGTGTCACCTCGCCTGTGCGGGGCCGTGTCACCTCGCCTGTGCGGGGCCGGCCGTGTCACCTGGCCTGTGCGGGGCCGTGTCACCTCGCCTGTGCGGGGCGGGCTGTGGGAGCAGCCGGGGTCCGCGCACCTGCTGGCGCCGGGCGGCCAGGCAAGGGCACCTGCGCTGGGTCAGGGGACCCGAGACAACGGGACGGCGGCCCAGGGCCGAGCCCAGCAGCGTCCGCGGGCGCCGAGGTGGGACCTGCCCGGGGCGGTGGCGAGAGGAGGAAAAGCCTCAACTACCCCAGAACCGGCCCGAGGCGCCGCGGAAAACCCGACATGAGGGGGAGCGGCAGGTTCGCGGCCCTTCCCGGCAAAGCCAAGCGAGGGAGAAACGGGCGGGAACGGGGGGGGGGTTCGGTGTCCCCGAAAGCCCCGGAGAGTGCCCCGCCCGCCCGGAAACGCTCCCGAGGCGGAAACGCAAACTCCGCGGCTTCGCTCCGGCCCCGCCCCGGGGTCTCAGCGGCGCGGGGGACCCTCCCCCCGAGTCCGCAGGCCGCGGGGAGGGCGCGGGGCGGAGGAGCCGGGAGGGAGCCCCCGGCGCCCCCGAACACAGCGCGGGGCCACGAACGCCGGGCCCGGGACGCGACCCCAGGCCCTGCCGGCGGGGACCGAGGGGAGCGCGGACTGAGCCCCAGGCCTCGTCCCGCCCCGCGGCCCAGCGCCCGCCCTCGGGGGCGGGGACCGCGGACCTTCCTGGTGGCGCCGCGGCCGGGCGGCTCCTCCTTTGTCCCGGCCCCGCGTGGAGCGGACGGACCCGGTTCCCACGCTGGCGCCCGGCGACCGGGAGGGGCCGCGGTGAGTCCCAGAGGCCCCGGCCCGTCCCTCCCCCCGCCGTCCCCTCCCCTGCCCGCCCAGCCCCCACCCCACCCAGCGAACCCAGAGGCCCCACCCTCCGTCCCCCACCCCCGCCTGCCCCAGCGGCCCACCACCCCGACACCCCCAC